TTCCCACCCAAGGTTTGACGAAATCCCAAGTTGGTACCACAGGTTCCATTTATTCCAGATTCCCACCCTTAAAATAACACTGTTAACATTTTTTAGGATAGTGAGGGTACAATTACCATAATGCCCTTTAACCCTAAATTAATAAATTATATTTTAACCCCTAAATTACTAAAATTATAAAATTAACCATCTTATTTTGAAATTACATCAATTACACCCTCAGTGACTGTGCATCGTCTCGGTTTTCACCGAATCTGGGCTATTTCCGATGCCGGCGAAACCCCTGGTCACCTCCATCACCTTCCCCATCATCCGCCATTCAAAACCCCTCTGGTTCCCAACTCATTGGGTCCTCCGATCGCCGGTGCTATCAAGCTTAGGTTTTCGTCGTTCTTCGCCGGATTCTGGTTGTTTCCCGCGACGAAAATCTAATTCGACATCACCACTGCAACCAACGTCTCCTAATCTACAAAACCCCTATGTCCCAGCAACCGTTTAGTGGCCATTCGCCGGTGGACACTGATGAAAACCAGTCGCATGTGGCGACTGTCGTGGCTGGAGATCGGCAGGCGATGAGGGGTTGTCAAGGGTATGGCTTTGTAGAGGGGAGGATGAGGGTTTGAATGGTGGTGACAAGGGTGATTTTGGGTGGAAGAATCGCCCGAAAAGAGCGAAAAATGATGGCGGCGATGTTGCTAACGTGCGCCGGATTTTTGTTAAGGGCGACGATCTGCTAATGTGCGCCTCCTCTGTGAAATGACCAATTTACCCCTGAGCCGTTATATCTAACCATTTCCCGTTACTTTAAGGGTGGGAATCTGGAATAAATGGAACATGTGGTACCAACTTGGGATTTCATCAAACCTTGGGTGGGAATATGTCGTTTACTCTATTAGAAATAAGAAACCTTTAAATAGCAATCCTAGCAAATGGCTTATTTGAAAATGTCACACTGCATGGGAACAAGAAATTATGACCAAAATCGAAAGCACTCACCTCCAATCTTCTGGTGTACCCCCTATAGGTATAGCTCTGATAGCGTAACCCAAATTACCAGATCTGAAGCATTTCGAGTGGCTTCATCTTCCCATTGCAGTCCTCGCCAATAATAACAATTTAACGTTCTTTTGCACTATTGGAATTGAGTGGAAGCTTTTTAAGCTTTGAACAATTCTCTACATGAACTTTCGATAGATGTGGGAATGATAAGGCCTCCCAATAGATGCTCTTCAAATTTTTTAGATCTTTTAATATAAGAGATCGGAGTTTTTCAAAAGGGTTTAGATCTCCTTTCATCTCTGGATCTCCAGCCAATCTCCCAACACTGATTATTTCGTCCATCTCATCACAATTCATAATAGTAATACGCCTGAGGTTTAACAAACACAAGTCATGTCAAGTCCCTCAATTTGGAAGCATTCACCTATTGCAACTGTGAAAAGGTTTTGGAAACCATAAGGTTTTCGTATTTTCTGTTAAGTTCTCTACATTCTCAATCTTCAACTCTTTCAAATTTTCAAAACTCATGATTTGTAGATGACGAAGATGCTCGAGATTGGCTAAAGATAAAACATTGAACGCCTCCAAATTTTCAAAGCGTTGAAGAACAAGAAAATTAGTACAAATGAAAAGTCAGTTGTTGGCCTATAATCGTTGGCTGATCAATAGGCCTTTCATCCCCAGAAGCTTCCGGCACCATCTCAGCTACAACTTCAAAAGCTCCTTTAAAGCAGCCACAATTTGCCCTTTTTTAGCAACTCTTTTCCCAAACTTATAACTTAACCTGCAAGTCCTGGAACAGTAACCTCCAAGACATACATCATCAATTTCACCAACTACAGTTTCCGCAGCTTCCACCTTTGAAAGCCATCCTGGCACTTTGCTCAGCCATTTCATTTGGTTGATGATCAGCTAGGACAACCTACATCATCACATCATCCCTCGCTTCAATCAAATTCTGCAATTTGTTGTTCAAGTCACTAACTTCAGTTTCCAGATTTTGCTTATATAAGCCGCATTTCTCAGTGCAATTGAGACAAGTGAAAACGGCTTCATAGGTGAAAGAGATCAACTCTGACCAGATTACTCGTTGATTTCAGAGAAGAATTAGAGAGAATGAGCAGATTGTTGTGTATGAAGGAGAAAACTCTTTGCTTTTAGATTTTTTGTATTCAATATTTTTCATAGTAAAGAAGTGAAGATGCTTTGCCTAGTCGTGGTTAATTTCATGCACAGGAAAAAGGAAAAGCAAATAATTTCCAAAATTCTTAAAGTCAAGGCAAATGAATAAAGCAATGTTTGATTCTTGACTGCCCAATTATGCCTCAAATAAAGAAGATTTTGACTTGTCTTTTTTTTTTTTTTTTTTAATGTCCGAGGTTATCGAGACTAACTTACTCATATCAACTAATCTTCAAGGACCTTAAAACTACTGACCGGATAAGAGCGTCAGTGACCGCACCTATAAACAACCAATAAAGGACTGGAACTCAAGACTTTTGGATGTTCTAATCCACCCAAAAGTCTCAATTTATTTGTAGGCTGAACGACATACACCCACCCATAGTTTGTTATAAAGACAATGTGGTCCCCAAAAAGTTTGACAACGATCAATTAGCTACCTTTCCTCCAAATCTGTTAGTAAAGTTAGTTTAAAAAATGATAATATGGTAATTTTATATCCAACAAAAAAAAATATAACATTCTGCTCAATTTCTCTCTTTAATATTAATTTTATAAAAATATTTCTTCTCGATTTTAATTATTTTATTTTTGTAATTAATTTTAATTAAAATCTTGTCTTCATCTTCTTCATCTCTCGTCAGAACCACAGGACAACCAGCAGCAAAAACGACCAAAGCCCCAAAAAATCCTCACTCAAATCACCAAAAGGTTCAATGCAAAAAATCCCAAAGAATCACTCTCAAACACTCAAAATAACCAAAACACGCAAGGCACAGAAGGTTTGGGGCAAAACCTCAAACAAGTGGTGTGCCAAAACTTGGAAAATCAATAATCAATGCCAAAACCGATCAGAAATCCCCAAAAATAAAACAAAAACACTCCCAATTAATCTCCAACCATCAATTTCTCATCAAAAACTCCGAAAAACACCAATTAATCCCAATTCAACAAACAACAAAAACCCTAGGAATTCAATGGGCGGTGAAATGTGAGCAAACGACGACGGGGAAAATGGGGGTTTTGGAAAGGGCACACCGGAAAGACGATTGGCAGGAAGAGGAAAGGTTTTCGGTGACGGGGCTTCCGGAAAATGGGTGGGGAAGTGCGACAGCTTTGGAAAAGACCCCATTTTTTTGCCCTTTTATGAGAGAGATGAAGAAGATGAAGACGGGAAGAGAGAGAGGAGAAAGGCTTTCGATCTGGCCATATTCCAGTGCCGGGTTCTTGCCTAGTGACTGGAGGAAAAAGAGGGAGAAGGAAGGGAAGAAAGAGAAGGGAGATAATCAGAGAAAGATAAGAGAGAGAAAGGGGAGAAGAAGACGAAGGATAAGAGATTTGGGCAGATTTTTTTAATATTTTATTAATGCAATTTTTTGAACTTTTTTTTTTATACACAAACCTTAAAACACAAAAAGTCAAAATTAACCCCACAAAATGATAGAATGTTGATAATACCATTTTAGTTAACAGATTTACTAACTAATTCGGAGGGAAAGTGGATATTTATCATTTCAAAATCTTTTGGGTACCAATTGTCTTTAAAGCAAATTCTGGGTAGGTGTGACGCGCTCTCCCTTCATTTGTACTTCCAAGAGCCTTTTTGTTATGTTGGGCTAAGTCTGCATATTCATTGGGCAAACTCCTATCCAATAGTTTAATTGGTAGAAAAATATTTTCAAAAAATACTTCTAGAGGGCACACAATTTCTCTATTATTGTATCAGTTAGCATGTATATAAAATAAACACAATTAAGGAGAAGAAACCATTGTTTTAAAACTCGACTTGGCCTATCCGGTTCAACCGAGACCCAAAGCCTTTAGCAAGTCGAGTTACAAATTTTTGTATTCATTGAAAATCCTAAAAATTAGGACATTAATTAGTGAACAATTGAATGTTAGAATGTTAGTGCTTTTGAAGAGAAATGGTCGATGAGTGAAATGGTGGCAACGGCAACGATTTCTGATAAGTGAATCGACTGAAAATCGCAAAACAATGTTGTCGAAAAAAGCCCTCTGTAGCCAACAATTAAGGAGGCAAGCAAGGGAGGGGTGAGATAAATTTTGGTCAGGAGGCTAAAGGGAGTGTGTTTGTGGTGATGGGGAGTGTTATCATCGATAGAAACAAGCCCTATTTGCCAATGCCAATAGTAGTGTTTGAGGTGTTTTTACAAGATTTCAAATTTATAAGGACTTACATTTAATTTTTAAGGATATTTTTGTTAGAATTTAAACCATTGGACATCTACTAGTCAAACTAGTTAAACTGGTCAACCCAAGACCCAACCTGGCCACTTTGTCGGATTTCACCCCATGTTGGGTTTTAAAACATTGGAAGAAACATTATAGTTCTCAAAAATTGATAACAATAAAGAATATGGTGTGGAATGACATGTAACATAGACTTTTTGAGAGCCCACCAAACAAAAATCGTTTCAGATTCATACAATGTTTTGATTTCTTCAAACGACACCATTTCATGTACCATCTCATTTTCAATAAAGCATCATTCACGACGAAACAATTTAACAAAAAAAAAAAAAAAAAAATTGATACCATTTTAATGTATACAGAACAGAACTGGGCAAATGAAATAGAAAGCTCACTGTTGAAGCACTGAGCAACAAATGAGGACCGTCTGGTTTTCTCAGGGTAGCGTTGAAATTAGCTTTCCCTTTAATATACAGTTTGCCGAAACATTACACAAAAATCACACTATTTGCATATTTGGTATTGTTTCAACATGTTGAACCAAAACTACTAGCTTAAATATATTTTGCATAAAACGTCTACTATATTTGTACACACATCCTCAAAGAATAATCTGCATACTGTTCCTTACGCATTATCCGTTGAGTTGTAAGCAGCATCAGCCGAGGAGGTGTCGATATCATTCAAACCCAACTCCTCATTCTGCTCCCATGACCTCTCATATTCCTCAACTGGCAATAAAATTACACAATGAACAAACATTAACTTATGCAAATTATATGCCGATACAATGTACAATTGCATGATTACTAAGAAATAAAAAGAAAACAAAATGAATTGTTTGAACTGATGTACCATGAACCCCTCATTTAAACATAAAAAATTCTTATTTTCGATTCATAAAAATCAAACACGACTCTTGACAGCTTAAAACTTATAAATTTTGAATGATTGACAGCTTCTGTAAGAATAGTTGTAATCCGTCGAAGGAAAAAATCAAAAGTTAGTTATAAATAGAAAAAAAAATAAAACAGCTAATTTGGTTACAAGTTAACTTGCTAAAACTAGGAAGAAGAGAAACTTACATGTTAACTGGTGGTCATCTTTCATATCATCAGTTGCCGGTGAAATAAAAGAATTGGCTAATGCATCATCAAGGATTAATGTCCACGAATCTTCCAAACTCAAAAGCTACAAGATTTATATTGGTAACATTATTGGAAGGAGCTTAAATGAAATAAGGTTACCAAAAACTTTAAATTCTCCTCCAAACTCAATATTGTAAATCACTCTATACAGCATATGTTATATATTATCTATATCCAATAAATAAAGGACATGGATTATATTCATATGCTCTTTCCCAATTTATAAAGGAAAATATCATTTTCAAACTAAATTATTGAGTCAGCTCAAGACATTTTTTTTTTAATTTTTGACCTACATCGAGGCTCAAGCTTTAATTGATTCATTCAACCTCATATACGGTTGATATTAGTAGTGCCACCCATACCAACTCTACCTGCCCTGCCTTTCTAACATTAGAGTGCCCAAGCCGTAATTATGATCAAATAATTGCCAGATCTACCGAATGGAATTCCATTATCCCTTCTTCCTAGGCAATTCAGATGATTGTTTACAGCTTGGTAATAAATAATTATTACAAAAACTCAAAAACAACTGAACTGGTATGCTCACCGACAGCATGAATCTTTAAGGACGTTTGGGTCATACCTTGTTCAACCTTGCCTTGAAATCTTGCCACTTGGTTTTTCTATTTTCATCAAGGCTGTCTCCAAAAGTGAATCCATGTACTCTCTCAAGGCCTGCACATGCATATCAATTTATGTTTAGATATCCATCTTGAGAAATGAATAACAAGCAAAAGAGAGTTGTGAAGTCATACTCACTTTCACTAATTTTTGTAATCAAACCTTCAACGGTTGTAACAACTCCACCAAGAGTACCGCTGGCCAGCTCCAAATCAAGCTCAGGAACTTTAACACTAGCAGCATCTGACTGATACATCTCAAAAGCTTTTTTGTTATTAAACAGTTTAAAAAATAGGAGCCAACAATAATGTTTTCTCATCTCATGTAAATTATATATATTAACTAATCTAATGGCAGAAACACCAAAAATAAAAATTAAAAGAACTACAATCAATTAATTGCCAAACGCAATGTATTTAAGCTGCTTCATCAGAAGATAATGAAAACCAGATCAAAATAACATAATAGGATAACCAAAGTAGCTCTTCTTGCTGTGCAATGAAATATTTCCTATTGCCTTTTAAGGCATGGATATTTCAAAAGGGAAGCTGCATCCATATCAGAATCAGAAGCTAGTGTATATACCCAAAAAGTTTGATCATCACCAGCTATACATAAAATATACTTGAAATAACTAATAACACAAAATAAAATAAACAAACACAAAGACGGGCAGAGAAGGCACAACAATTACAACCAAAGATGAAATACATAATTCTCCATAGAATAAGTTGTTAAGGCCAAACAATGCTACATCGATAGCTAAAAAATGTAAAAGAATCCACATAACTATACCTTTATCACATCACGGCTTAAGTCATTAATGTACTTAACACACAGAGAAATTTTCTTTCCTTTTTCAGGAATTCTACCACCAGGCTTTAACTGCACAAGAATGCATCAATCAGAATTCACCATCACATGTGAAAAGGATAAAGTATATACAAGAAAGTTACAACAAACCTCGGAATTGCGGTAACCACAAGAATCACACGTTGATGCCATGACAATTACTTCTTGGAAGTATGGAATCCCTGTTTATTGTTAAGCTCAACAAAGTTTATGCATAAAATAGCCCAACTACAAATGCTGGTAGACATAACTTAGATGATTGTCCCATAGTAATAACAATGAAGAAAGTAAAAAGGATACTAGTTACAAACATTCGAGTCTCGCATCTAGCAGTACATGCCCCGCAGGTAGATGGGAAAGTCATAACCTATAACAAATGCAGACAGCAGGTAACAGAACATTCAAAAATAATTGGGAAAACAAGAAAATACAGAATATCAATATATGAAATTGCCCTACCTCTTCTGGTGCTGAGTATCTAAATAAAGCATCGGCCATTTCGGAACAATTGCTCTGAGCAATGGCCCGGTGGCCAGCTACTGCTCCAACTGATCCGTGGGGTACTCTTTGCATTTGATCAGAAGTGCTGTTGGATTCCTCAGTTACTACAGTACGAGACTCTTCCAACTGCGTTGGGTCGACAAGATACCCCAAAGATGCTTGTTGCTCTGGAGTTCGTTCGTAGAACTTAATATGTAATGATGGGTCTGGAGATGGAGCATACCTATCCATATCAAAATACAGAGTCATACTTTTTTAAACATATAAATTTATATATGATTGCATGCTTAATTAGGGCAGAGTCAAACCAAATTAAGGTTCAAAAAATTGTCAAACATAAGAACTCATCAAGATCCATCCCAGATCAAAGCTCTAGAGCATATTAATAGAGACCTTCCACCAAAAGAATCACAACAAAAGATTTTTCAAAGATCTTTATCTCTTTATATAAGAGAGGTGTCCATGCAAGAAAAATAGGAAGATAAGAAAGGCAACTTATACAACTACAACCTATCCATCCTATGGAAAGCACAAATCATGCAAGAGAAATAGAAACTCTCAATTAAACTCATTCCTTACGGATTCTCAATGAAGCTGTTCCCAGCAGGATCATCAAGGATGAGCGAGAAGGATAAATCACCCCTAGAACAAGCTCTCAATTTCAACAGAAACTGGTCAATAGCTTCGGCAGTCTGAGGATCCACTTTCTGGATAGCCAAGAAGATAGCATTAATAAGCAGGAAAAAGGCATAATGTAATATCAAAAACAACGAATGCCAAATTGAAGATGCACCTTGCGTTCATCTTGAAGGGCCTGCAATTCATCTGCAGCTCGTACCAATATCCCTTCAAGCTAGAAAAACTCCACTAGATCAAATAGAGAAATGTAACACAAAGAGAAACCTAGGAATACCTAATCAAGTACCATTATTAACTCTAGATTTGGCATAAAGCAAGAAGTAAAGCAGGGAACATGTATGAAAGGGATGAAGGAAAAAAGAAAGGAAAGGGATCACTTCCCTCCTCATATCAGCAAAGAAGTTTTTTCCCTCATCCCACCTCATATCAGCAAAGAAGGGATTTTCAATTTCCAATATTACGGTTGTCAAGAAGACAAAATAATATGCTATATGTTCACTGCACTGATAGACACCTCATTTATTTACGTTGTATGTATTTCTCCATATTTGCATTATTAAGTAGGATAATGGTAGAAATATAAAGTAATTCTCTTTCCAGAGGAAAGAAACTCAGAAGCGACTTTCTTTGTGCCCAACACAAAGACACTTAGAACCCAACAAGAAGGAAAATAAATAAACAAATCCAGCAATGTGTTAGATTTAAAGGACATACAGTTGATAGACTTCCCCGCTGAGCCTCTGGTGGAATCTCAAAATCCAGTTCAGGAATCTGCATCAAGATAACATAAAAGAAATCACTGTCTCAGCATTAACCGAATTAGACTTTCTTACTGCTTCTAACAAACAATTCTTGCGAGAGAAAAAAAAAAAAAAAAGACTCAAAGTTGTAAACTAACAAGCTATCAATCCCCACTTCCAAGAAAATTAATACATCCACAAAACAATAAAAAGGTTAAAAATTATAAGCACACATAACTGTGGCTATAAACTGTGTATTTGTATACAAATTGTAACAGGTATATCAATTCAAATACCTTAATGGTTGCAGACTCGGATTTCACAACTTGTCGGTGGAACATCTGCATTAAAGGCAGTCATCAATTTTCCATACTCACTAAGAGATTACCAAAAAAACTTAAAATTAAAGAGGAGAGAAAGTAAAAGAAAAGCTTTAGACCAATAAGAATGACAATTATATAAAAACTAAAGATTTTAGGATTAGTACAACAAGTACAAACAAAATCTGTTGTAGGTGAAATTCCATATTAGATTACAATAATATCATAAATAAACCTGCAGAACGATAAGAGAGTCATTTTCAAGGGTAACACAGCAGAAAGGAACAATGATTCACCAATGAAGATCGATTACCTAATGTAAATAAAAGACACCACAAAAGTGGGAAAGAATGCCCAACAATAAAAAGGATAGTGAACTAAGATATTTCAAACATATCTCATACGAAAACCTGGTACTCCTTAACTAAATAGCTTTCAAAGTGCCAATATAGTTAACTAAGAGAGAGCAACACTTAAGAGGCCAAAGCATACAGTGTTACAAGTATCAAGAAAATGTTAACATAGTTTCTGTAATGAGAGTAAGAAAAAAGAAAAAAAGAAAAAAAGCTCAGTTATTAATCCTATAAATCTATATGTTCCAACACAGAATTTTTGTATGTTACACCATGTTTGATATTCGAGTGGACATACCTTTTGATCACCTGATGGTACCTCCAAATGGTAACAACAACCCCGAGGTTGGATCTCACCAGCAAACTGAACCTCGTTGTTCCTACACAGAAAAAAAATAAAAATAAAAGAAGGGACCAGAAGAAGATCATTTTAACTCAAGCATTATTTTGAATCCCAACATCCTGAAGGGGGAAAAGACACCGTAGAATTTCATTATGAAACCTTAAGATAAACCAATTGGCATTAATCAGGTTACTCTGAATCTTGTCAATCCAAAAATATTAGCAAATATAGATAGTCATAAAAAAAACCCATCATCTTACAGCAATGAATGATTACAAAAGTATAATTTTCCAAATTCCAATTGTCCCATCTAAATTGAATAATACATTTTTTTTTCTGAAAATAAAATAACTATCCAACTTAACTAAGGTAATGCTATGTAAACAATAACGATAAACATAAAACTTATATCTAAACTGAAGTTCTAACATAAAATCCATACTTCATTAAAGTACGATTAACAAAACAAAATATTTGAAGTAAAATGCATTCCAAAAGAAAGCCAAAGAAACTTGGTCTCAGAATTACCTCTCACCACAATGTGGACACTCAAAAGCTGACAACAAGACCTACAAGAAACAAAAAAGAAAAAAAACTTTGACTTGCTAAACCAGAAAAAGAAACAAACAAATTTACGAATAAACAGACATTATCACATTGCATACCTTCCTGAAGTGCGGTATCAAGGTCAATAAAAACTTCGTGACTCCCTGTTAAAGAGTAAAAAACATACAAATTGGCATAAAAAAGTCGAAAAATTAGAGTAAAGAAGGCTTCGAGTAGGTTGAAATAAGAAAACTCACGTTTTCACCGCAACGCATACAGAGACTTTCGACTTGGTAAAGAGGAGCATCGCCGTCTTCGGCAGAAACAGCTTCTACTACTGACCGAACGTCGACTATTTCTTCTTTGTTTTCCATTTCTTTTGAATTCAAACGACTCTCTTCTCTCTTCTTAGTTGTTGTTCTGGTGAAAGTATGTGTGAGTTAAAAGTTGAGTAGCGACTCCAGAAGGGGCTAGATTCGCTAGAAGAGGCGGGTAGGGATTTAGAAATTCGTTATAAGTTGGACTAATAAAATGGGCCTTAACCAAACCCGGCCTATGTTACATAACCATATATGTTAGTTAAGTTGTGTGTGGGGCCTGTGGGCAACCTCAACTTATTCGAAGATAGTGGGTATTACCACTTGGCTGTGGTAAGATGTAGGGTGAAATCAAGTCAAGTCGGCTACTCGAACTTGACTCAATTGTCATAATACTGAATTCGAGCTTGATCGAGTTTGAAGAATCGAGTTCGAACTCAAACTTAGTACTTGAAATTATAATTTGAGCTCATATAATTGAGTTTAATTGAGCTTTTTGAGCTTATCGAGTTGAGTCGTACATTGAATGAACTCGACTCCAATTAGTATTCAAGTTATTTGATCTCGCTCAGTTTTCACCCTTAGTCGGATGATAAGACCTTAGGTTACCTAGAAGTTTTGTGAGTTCTACCAAGTGGTTATCTATCATATTTGTGGACACCTCAATCACCAAAAATGGCCACCTATCACATTCTTGGACACCCCGATCATTAAAAAAAAAAAAAAAAATTGGAGGTCGTAAGCTGTCGCATCATACATAAAATTTGAATTTGATCATAAGTCATGGGCATCATTGTGATATTGTAGACTTCTTGTGATTAATTATTTGGACATCTTTTAATTGGTTAAAAGAAAAATAAGATAAATTGAATTTTCTAATACATTTATATATAAAACATCGTATAATAGTTTAAAGCTCAACCTCAACTTATGAACACGTAAATATTTATCATAAGAATATATAATTAATACAATAATCCAAGGACTTTTTATACAAAATACATTCAATAATGCTACGGACACCGATTAATCTCACTGAATTATTATATCGACCTACGTGACATCTGAGTTAGACGTGGTCATGTTAGACACTATAACACGTCTTCCGTGAATGAACGGTCGTCCAATAATTATGGACGGTTGTGCATTACAAATGGACAGTCATCCACCAATCTGGACGAAATTTTGAACAAAAGTAACAATGGACTCTCGTCCATATTATATAGATGAGAGTCATTTCCTATGGATGGGCGTCCACCTCAAATGGGTGCCCGTCCATAATGACTTGCATTATTTTTAAATGAGGAGGAATGATTTTTTAAAAGAATAAGAATTGATGTCCGTCCATATTATATGGATCGGGGACCATATTTAATGGATGACCATCTGTATTAGATGGACGACCGTCCATTGAATAGCAAGGCAAATAAATTTTTTCTTTTTAAATTTCAATTCTTAGGGATTAAAAATTTGCCATCCCAAAAGAAGTTTTAAAAAACAAAATGAGCGATAAATAAATGAACGACTGCCCATTTTCTTGGGACTATTGAAAGAAAAAAGCTACATCCAACTCCAAGTTCCTTGTCGGAAAATAACCACATCTATCATTCTTCACTTCTTCGTCTTCGTTCCTCATCCACCGTTCTTCTTCTTCATTGAAGTCATATGCCATTCTTCTCGTAAGTTATTGTGGTTTTTTTTTTTTTTTTTTCATCATGTGAATTTTTGTGATTTTGATTGATGATTTCGCTTGATTAAGCTGTAAGGTGGGTAGATGAATTCATGTCAGTTTCAAATGTTAGTTTGCATGTTACTTTCAAACACTTGTTTGGTGGATTCTCACTAGCTAGAATATGAGTACGATCCAAATGCAGATCTGATAATTGATTCGGTGGGATTTGCTAAAATCTATTATGAAAGTGAAGTAGTTTGTTTATATATGTACATATTTGGGTACCCAATTCAACACAAGTGAAAGTAAAAGAAAACCTCGAGGGGTTAAATTGGATATTTAGTACTTGATTAGATCTTCACTTGCTTAGGATTTGACCCATCAACCACAAATTTGGCATATCAAACCACCAAAACACTTAACTGTGTTGTAAGTGACCTATCAGATGCTCTGTTCATAACAAATTCCAAGATTGACATGATATATGTTCAAATTTTAATGAAGCTCTTGTTTTTCAAAGGCATTAATTTTTGAAAATTTTGCCTATATGAATAGAAATTGAATTTGATACTATTTTCATAGTTAATAGTATTGGATTTCAAACACTCATATTTCTATAGATTGGAAGTAAATGAATATTTGAAATAGACTATTTTTTTTTTTTTTCAACTAGTTCAAGTTCAATGTCTACCCATATCACTTGACTTACAATTCCCTCACCAGTTAGTTTTATGTTTCCTCCTATTGTAGGTATGTTTATGAGTTAGTGGCACTTAACGTAGTTCGGGCTCATGTACAGGTTGTTTTTTCTGTTTTATATTCACTGATTTGTGTTGTATACACTAATTTGTTTTCAATGTGTTGTACGCACTGATTATGATGACGAATTTTTTATATATACAGGTTTTAGAATAAAGTAGAAAATGGCAAGAGCAAAAAATACAACCATTCTTCATGGAGGCACATTGTCATTTAGAGTCCAATTTCGAGACTTGCAATATAAAAAGCAATACAAGGAGGTGGCGAAAAGAGATATTGCCTTGGAAGAATTTTGGATTTAGGATTTATGACAACTTTGGGTTTATTTAATGAAATTAATGGTTTGATACATAATTTGAAATGGGAACAGTTGGTGAGTATTAGATATGATGGATATGAGCATTTGGTCTTTGAGTTTTTAGTAGTTTAGAAGTTGTGGAGACGCATACTGATGATTTTTTGGCCTATACAATGTTTTTTAAATTAAAGAATCAGAATTTTGAAGTGAGACCACAAGAGTTAGCAACTTGGATAGAATTTGATTTTGAAGGTTTGGATAACGTATCCAGAACGTGAGATTCCAAAGCTTGGACGGATGTTTTTGGAATAGGGATTTGCCATCCACATAGGTGTAAATCTACAAAGTTAAAGAATCATGTTATGAGAGTATTTTACAAATTTTCGACTTTCACATTTAATGGCAAGGAAAGAGACAAATGGAAATGTGACAGTTAAAGATTTATTATTCATGGAAGTAGCAATAGTAGGGAGACAAGTAAATTTAGCAAAGTTATTGATTAAGAAGTTGAGAGAGATTCAAGCAAAAAAATGAGAAATATATTAGGGGATGCTTATTACGCTAATTTGTGAGAAGTTTGGTTTTTAGATCACCCATAATGATGAAGCAAATAAGATAAGTTTTTTGCAAATAATTTATTGGGGGATATCACATTATGTAAAATTGGTTTGAATAGAAAGAATATGGTAGGAGAATGGTTTGTGATTACAGATGAAATGGAGAAAGATGCAACGGTTCATGAGGGTGTCCCTATTCTAGAAGGAGTAAATCAAGGATAAGTCTATGTGTACAAAAGAAGAAGAACGAGTACTAAACCTGGATCTTCTCAAATGTACAATAAATGTCTTCTCATATTTTAGACGAAATAGTAAACAAATTTGAGTGGATCGAAAGGTTTCAAGGGGTGAGTTTTTCACATATAGAGAGGAAAATGCAAGAACAATAGGATCAGTTCCAAAGTGATTTCGACTTGTTCGCATCAAGAATAGAAGAAATAGTTGACATCCTTGGGGAATGCATGACAGAAATTTTCACTATGATGAAGAACTTCTCAACAACCTCCTCCTCCTTTAATCAGCCTCTAGCTCCTACACTATGATGTATAACTAGTTGTTATTGTAGTAGCGTAGTTAATTTGTTTAGCATGTGATACAGCTTGAGTCAATTTGAATGTTAATTATATTATGTGTGGTTCCAATACTATACTTTATGTATGAAGATTATATTTGTCTTTTGTTTATAAATATGCTAATTGATAAAGACTGGTTTCACAAGATGTTCTCAATTATCTGAACTTCTCCAACTGATTTTTTCGTTATGACAAGTTTTCATATGTTGTTAGCAATTCCAACTTTATTAATTATTGTTCTATACATATCTTAACTACTCTTTTAAATGCATATGTATATCTTTTATACACAAAACTTTTCATAATACAAATAAGTCTCAAAATATTAGCTTGATAGTTTTGCCCAACTCTTTTCGCTGCTTGATGATCCAAATGACCGCATTTCACCTGTTACTTACAAAAACATTGTAAACAACGGCGTGAGCACTAATTGCTCAGTAAGTAAACCCGCTATGCTACCCTTCTCTTTCCTTTGCTTAAATTCTGAATTTCTTTCCTTACTTCTCATTTCCCCATTCTTCTCTATTCTTTCTCTACTCTTACTCTGTTTTTCTCTCTATTCTTTTTCTGTTCTTTCTCTTTTCTTTCTCTATTCTAATTTCTCACTACTCAGATAATAGACATAATATTACTCATAAATAAAACGCAAATTCACAATTGTATAAAAGGTGCATTTTCTTTTCAGTTTTTCTTTCTTCTCGGTTCTTATTCTGTTTTTCTTTCTTTCTTTTCTGTGCTTTTTTCTTTTCTTTCTAATCTGTCTTATTCTATTCTCTTCTTATTCTTATTCTTTTGCCGATCGGACTCGGTTGAGGCATGGATTTAAAACCTTTGTCGTGTGAGTGTATTCTTCTTTCTTGGGTACAGCCCTCATCCACATGCACTCTTACAGACTGTACCAATTCTTCTTTCTTCTTCTTAGGCCGCTCACTAAAGGCGGCGTGCATGTGGGAAAATTTCTTCTTGTCACTCACGGTTCCCCATCACAACAACCTTTTCTTCTTTTTATCTTTTTACACTTCTTTAACTAAAATTCAGATTTGGAACTTTTTAACATTCTCATTTCTTTTTATTTAATCTTTGACATTCTTTAATGTTTTTTCATGCTCTTATGAATATGTATACATGTAGATGGTTTCATGCTTATACTTCTTTCTAAATTCACATGTTTAAATGTAATTATGCAATATGGAATGCAAACATGTTATTCTCTACCATCTACAAACTCATCTCAATATAACACATACTCATACTCAAATAAACATTTCTC